TTATAAATAGAAAATGTATTTTTGATTGCTGTAGTATGGGGTATCATGCTCTGAGGCAAAGGTTCTGGGTCCAAATCTTAGCAGCACCACTTACCCAGTGAGTGAGCTTGACCAAGTCATTTATCTTCCTGTTGCTCAGTTTCCTCATCTTTAAAGTGGAGGTGATGATGATCCTGTCCCTCTCGTGAGATGGGTGAGGATTAAATGAGCTAAGGTTCATGAAGCATTCAAAAGAACATATCCCGGAGTCAGCGCTATGCAAGTATTTGCCAGATTATTCTCATACCTACATAGGTGTCCTACCAGAATGAGGGTCATGTTCTTGGTGCCCAGAAGGAGCAGCTACTGAATCAGTGAATGTCAGGTGGATGCTGCTTCCTAAGGAGCTTTTCTGGGTCACAGCAGCCCTTTACCCTGTGCCACTTGGACAAACACCTTGGTCACCCTGAGCATGCACATCAACAGATCAGTACATGAACAATGAGATCTAACGGGGACTCAAATCATGTTGTCACTCACATAAAAACCAGTTCAGATTTTAAAATATCATGTTTATATAAAAGCTCAAATCTGAGTTCACTCGACCCTGAGTGAATATTTTATACCTGCTTTTCTATACTGACTCAGAAGATTTCTTTTAAGTGGCATCAGAGGAATAACTTTCAATTAATACTGAACAAGTAGAATGAACTACTTAAGATCAATACCCATTTTTTCCTTTACTTTATAATTAATGGAGTGACTGCTTTGCTCTGGCTACTACGACTTACTATGGTAAAAAAAAAAAAAAAAAAAAAAAAAAAAAAACAACCCACAGGGCTGGGGGTGGGAGAAGCTGGTGAACAGTTGCTACTTACATATTAAGTATTTTATGTCTCGTTTTTTTCCTGGGGCTTCGTTTGAAAGCCGCCTGGGCTCAGTTTGCCCTCACTTTGCTGAAAACAATGATTTAAGCTTTATGAATGTGCTGAGCAGTGAATTGAGACACGAGATTGCGGCAGCTTTAGAAGTGTTTAAAGAAGAAACCTCTCGGCCACCAACAGGGCAGCGAGGGAGGTTGTGCTCCCTGGGACCGTGCGGTGGAACTGTTGAACTTGGGCGCAAGGGAAGGAACTTTGTGACATAGATCATAGAGGGAATGGAAAATGAACTTTGGTCCTGGAGCATCAGAGGTAGGGTCGGAAAACCTGAGTCCTCGTTTGGTACTTGCATGTAGTAGTCACAGCTGGTTTTCTTACCAACCATCTTTTTCATCTTCTTTACCCTCCCTTAAGAGATGCTCATCCCTCACTCTCAGCTGGTGGATTCCCAGTGGCACGGATCACTCCTGTCCCTAGAACAACCCCACAATTCATCTTCAAAACCCAGGCACTTAAGAGTAAAAGTTTTCTTTAAATTATGATTATGAAATTTTGGAAATATGTATTTACTGATCAACAAATTGATTTTATTCAACTGATAGACCTACAAAATAGTTCTATTCAAAAATTGCTTTCAAAAATAAGATTTTTTAAAAATATGCATGACCTTTAGCATGAAATGAGTGAAGGATTTTATTTTTTATATTGATTTTCTGAACATTAAAAATAACAAGCAGAATAATTATTCTTCATACATAGTTAAGTACTTCAGTCGATTCCTTAGCCACATCCATCCCCAGTACAATATCAAGCATATTTTCTAAAAAATTTTGGTTTAATTTTTTTTTTCTTTTGTTCTTTTTCTGCCGTATAGAGTATCAAATCCAGGGACTTGCACCTGGTAGGCAAGCACTCTAACAGGTGTGACCATTTTTAATGTTTTCATACAAATGTCTTCATTCTTCCTCAACATTTTATTTAACTTTAGTAAATATGAAATTGTTGAAAGCTAAATTGACTATTATCCATAGAGTCAAATACTTCTAATATATCTGGTTGTCAAGAGGCAGCTAAGGAGAAAAGGTATGTGTAGTGCAGCGAAATGTTTTTTTTTTTTTCACTTGACATTATCACAAAAATTTTATAGTTTAGTTACTGAAACTACATATGCACAAAAAGTATATAAAACTTAATAGGAAATGCTCTACTTTGATTAGTGGACTATCAAGCTTATCTGGGTAGAATTCTAAAGTATGTGTACAATACAACCAATTCCAAGTACTATTTTGCTTCATGGGTTTTACCATTTACCAAAAGAGATTGTTTTAACTTGGAATTGTGTTGAACCTAAAGTTGTACCTGTATTATTACCTTAAAACAAATAATTTGATCTTCAATGTCAAACTTTTGAACTTCATCTATAACAACATTCAAAATGTCAGGTGTTTTACCTTCCGTGGAATGGATTTCCAAATTTAACTTGTTTCCAATCATTGGGTAAAAAATTTCAATCTTTATAGAAATTAACTTTTTTTTTTGTTCTGGGGATGGAACTCAGAGGCACTGAATCACTAAGACACATTCCTAGCCCTATTCTGTATTTTTATTTAGATACAGGGTCTCACTGAGTTGCTTAGTGCCTAGCCATTGCTGAGGCTGGGTTTGAACCCGCAATCCTCCTGTCTCAGACTCCTGAGCCCCTGGGATTATAGGTGTGCTTAATGGAGTTACTTTAACAGCTATGATATTACTTTTTATGTTGCACACAACAATCTGGTATAGAAAATGAGAAAAGCTAATTTAGAAAAGTAGTCAGTTGTTTTAAATGAGGAGTCATGCTTCACAGAGGTCTATGCAAAAGCTGCTGCCCATATTAATTTGTCATTGTTAGCCTCAATCTGCTTAAAATACCTACTAAGCTGGAGTAGATCGTGATGCACTAGCAGAGCACATGTGACCAGTGGTAATACTATGTTGCCCCAGACAGATGATAAATGTCAATGTCTTGCACAAGTCAATCTTTACCACCAACTTCCTTGAGAAATGAAAATTCCTCCCCCAGTTTTTTTTCTTAAAATAATCATCGTTTTCACTCCTTGATGCTAAAATAACATAAAAATCATTGCAATATAGAAAAGGGTGACCAAATGATGTAATAAATAGTTGCAGGGTGCCACACAACTTTGAATAATGAGAAACAAGGATACAGGAGAGAGCATCCGAAGCAGGGAACCAGAGTGAGCAGAGTCCAAGGCAGGAATGAATAGGGCATCCGTCTGACCAGCCTGCCACTCACACAAGGCCTCGCTAGGGCAGCTATAGCTCACGGCCCATTCTGAAGGGACAAAAGGGCCAAGGAGACCATCAGGTGGTAAACAGATACCAAATAACACCTAGCACCTGTGAGCCCAAACAACTCTCCTGATTGGCCTGCAGAGAAACACAGATGAACGAGGCAAGATCGTTAAAGGACTTACAGGATTACTGATAAGATCTATAAATGCGCAAAATTATACACCTCATGTAATGCTTTGTGTACCCAAACAGGAATAAGTGTCCTTGACCCTTCTGCTCACCCTAAATCTCGAATATAAATAAAAGGTAAGTTAAACCCATTTCTGATGGTATCCTTTAAACACCTGGCATGACTCTTTTCTAATATGCACATTTTTAAGAGAACGGAAGAAAATTGTTGAGTAGACCTAAACTCAACCACAGAGTTCTAATTACATTTTCTTCACTATATTGTTTTTTCAAGCTTACTTAATTCTGCAGTTAGATCCTAACTGTTCCCAAAGGCCCATGTGTTCCAAGCTTGGTCTCTAGTCTGTGGCACTATTGGGAGGTGGTGGGCTCCCTAAGAGGTGGGCACAATGGAAGGAAGTTAGGTCACCGGTGTGTGCACCCACAGGGGATTCTGTGATGGTGAACACTGTTCTTTCTCTCTCTTTACTTCCCATCCTCCTTGAGGTGAACAGCTCACTCCACCACACCCCTTGCCCCCCAATCTGCAGCCTCACCACAGGCTCAAGCAACAGGGCCAAGAGCTCATGGACTGGAACCTCTGGAACCCTGAGGCAAAATGTCTATAGACCTTTTCTCTTTTTAAGCTAATTGCCTCAGATATTTTGTTTCAGTATCATAAAACATATCTATCTCTATGTGTGTGTATACACAGAGAGACTGAGAAGGGGCGGAGAGAAAGAAACATCCCAGTCCTGATCCAAGCACTCTCCCTTACGTCCCATGTTTACTTATATGTTAGGTCACCTTGGACCAGGTTCCACTGGCTCATTGAGGGGAGTTTTCTTTCTCATCCATTGCCCAAAGGCTTCATTATTTACATCTCTGAGTCACAGATATTCTAACCTCCAATTTGATACCCCCTAGATCCAGACGTGGTGGAATTTCAGGAGGCACATACTTCTCCAATTATACGTTGCAAAATGTCCTGTTGCGGCAGTCTCTTTCTCCCAGGTGAGGTCAAGGATTGGATTGATAATGGGTTCTGGGGAAAGGAGAATAGTTTCCAAACTGTTCACAAGAGTTTTTCACCATTTTGGAGGTGGAGAGACAAACCTATTAATTATTTTCAGTTGTGATATCCAATATTCCCTCACCGTCTGCAGAGTTTTGTCTTTGAACCATTTTTATCCACTTTTAGGGTGATAGTAATCCACAATAAGCTCGGATTGAGTAGTACAGAGAGTAAATGCCTTGGTGATCAACAAACAGAAACTGTCACTTCCAGGACAGGCTTTCACTCGTTTGCTCGCTCATCCCCTTGGTGTGTGTTCACCTACTAAACCTCAGGCACTGGACTATCACAGTGGTGAGCAAGATGGACCTGGCTTCTGCCATCACGGAGCTCCTCACATAGGCACAGAAACACACGGGAAGTAGCACAGAGAAAGAGAATCACAAATAAGTGCCATCCAGAGCGTTATGAGAAGGAATACCCAACAGAGGTAGGATCTGATTTGGACTGGAGAAAAAGTAGAATTCAGTTAAGCTTTAGGCAATAATCAAGAATATTGTGATCAGAGGAATGTGTGTGTGTGTGTGTGTGTATAAACTATATGTATATATATTTTATATATTTATATAAATAAAATATATGCATATACATGTATAGTTTATTTGTTTTCATTTTCACACTGGTTATTGGATGTTGGGACCCCTCAAAAGAGCCTCAAATAATTGACAACAGCTGACTTCTAGGTACCAGCAGACGGTGCCTCCTAGTGGCTGGGCGGTGGGAACACAGGCAGAAGTGATTCCAATCCTGTGTGATTCCCGTAGTCATTTACGAGCAGAAGCCTTAGCCAGCTCATGACTCCTCTCATCTCTTCCCTTTGCGACCGACAGTCATGAACATTCCAGAAAGCAGGCTGCTCCACATTCCGGGTCCTGGAGGAAAAGTGATACAAAACAAACCCGCAACCGCTCCCTAGTGGACAAGTCCTATGAGCAAGAAACCAGCCCATGAAGTTTAAGCCCCTGAGGTTCCGTAGCCATTTATATCACAGCATAACTAGCCTCGTGGTCCTCACAGTGCCATTTTCAAACTCCACAAAGTCAAAACTATGTTCATAATAATACTGAAACATGCCTTGGTTTTTCACGATGGTGACATTTACATTAATGGTGGAAAAGTAACGGAGGGTAAAACGCCTGGTCCCTCCACATGGTGAAAGGGTGAGAGCAAGCTGCACTCAGTAACCTTGATGTTCTTCACCCCCAGCCTGCCCCCGTCAGTCACAGTTTTAACAGAGCCATCACTTAGTGGAACACACACAAGAAAAGGACTGATTTTATTAAGCCCAAGCCTTGAGGGTGCAGCTTCTTGAGATTTCTTGGGATGAAATAGAAATAAGGCAGAGGGCTCTTTTTCTGCACACCAAAGTGCTAAGCTTTGTCTTAAGTAAAAGCACTTGTGATCATTTGGCTGCAAGCTGAATTAGCCCCTTTTTCATTAAATTGCTTTTCTTATTTGAAAAGATGACTGACAGACAAATTAAGGTTATTCCAATTCAATTATTCAGCAAATATTTTCTTGCCAATGATAAACTCCAGGCTTTTAAGTAAACGGTAGGATTTTGGAAAATTCGTGTCTTCCACTGTGAGCCTGACAACTTCTAATACTTAAAGATTTTGTCTAATGAGATCAGTTGTAATACGAATGAATGTGATTTTTGATATTGTACAAGGAAATGAGTCAGCATCTTAAGATCTGCATAACTAAATAAACTAGCATTTTCCAAAGACCATCATTTTTTAAGGAATCAAATTTCCTTTCTAATATGGTAAATACCAGCAGACATAACCTACACAAATAAGAAGCTCTTTACAAGTATAAAAGTGCTCTAAGAATAAATCTTTGAGAACTGTTGTTGAAGTCTATCCTGACTATACCAGTCAAGGTCCAATGAGGAGACAGACCTATACAACGACTTATACAGGGATTATAAATTTTTAATATAAATTCTTATTACATGTAACAAAAGAGTAATCATAAAGAGGCAGAGAGAATGCTAAATTATACTCTAGGGTAGAGGAAGAGCACCTAAGGGAGTGGGCTTCTGTCTAAGGCTGGACACAGGCTTCATTGGGATTGGCGTGGCTGCAGCCCACACCAGGCTGAAGTGCCACAGGTTGCCAGGTGAGAGCTGGCCCACAGTGCCAGGTAACTAGGAAATTCCCCTTAACATGCAGGGGGCTAGAGGGCCAGGATGCAGGCCATCCAGAGCCCACTCATCATCAGGGCAGTGCAAAGCCTGAGGTGCATGGTGAGTGGGTCACCACGCTGGTCCTTGGGGCGTGAGTTTGCTGAGGATTTGTGTGTCCCAGGCATGCAGCTGGGGCTGAGCCCTAAGCCAGCACCAGTTCATCAGACACAAAAAGTCCACCAGCACCAGGAGGAAGACACCCCTCCTGCAGTGTCCCTCTGGCGCCCTCTGCTGACAAAGCCTAATACCGTGTTTGCTGCAAAAGAGATGCTTAATGCGTCCTCACGAAAGCGGGTACTAAAGGGTGAATTTGAAGCTGAGAGGTAATAAATTGACAGCCGGAACACTGACAGAAAACATTTCATATGGACCTTTTGTTTCATATCACACCAATTAATAGTTCCAAAAATAGTGCCTAGGAATCACAGTTTAAGAAACTGATGTTTGTAGGTCATGGAAGATTTTTGGTCTCCTGTCCCTCTTACGTATATCTATTGTTGTAGAATTTTAAAATCCACATCTTGGAAGCACAACCACATCAGAAAGGCTGACAAGGGCCAAGCCTTGAGTGTGTATATGCATGGGTTAAATTCCACAGCAAGGTATTTTAGTATTTTTAGTGCAGGAAGCAGAAAAGATTAATAAATCATTAATAGGAGCAATCTAGCAAAATATATCAACAAGTTCTTACATTCGATGATAATGTTATTGCTGTTTCCCCATTATCCCAGATCTCTGGCTACATGGGCTTTGAAAATGCCCAAATTACACATCTCCTGAGCTAGTATGTCCACAGCATAGAAATAAGGATCTTAAGGCAAGGTATTCAACACTGGCTGTCCCTCATAACTCCCAGAAAATTGTCAAGGTCAATGTCATTCTTCAAGTACTAGCTCAAACACAGATCTTCCCCAATCAGAATGGATCTCTCCCTCCCTGGGACTCTGCTTCTTTTGTTAACGCTTCTGCTGAGACACTTCCCCGGGCTACCTCATTTTGTAACTACTTATGTCAGTGTCTCTCTCTCCCACTAGACTGTGAGCTACTCGAGGGTAGAGAGATGCCTCACTCATCTTTGTGTCCCTACAGCCACACACAGCAACTTGATGTATGGTGAGCCCTTATCTGTTTTTGTCGACCCAAATTTGTTAACGTCAAGTGAAGGAGGAAGAGTAGCTTGAAGTCTTGTGATCAACATTCTCTGCTTGCAAAGGGGCTTAGCCACAAACACTTAGCTGGGTCCTGCTATGAGTGAACTTCAAAACATTGGCCTTAAGGGGGATTCCTCTGAGATAGGCAATTCGGATTCTGAATTTGAGAGCCCTGGATTGCAGGAAGATTCAGACTAATTCAAAACTCTGTAAAAAGATAGTCGGGCATTCTTTTATATAGCAATTTTGATGCAGTTTGTCTAAATTCATTGTTTCCCTTTTCTTCATCTCCCACCTTCAGCCTTGATCATTCATCATCTAAGACAGGACTGGTTGGCAGAATCCTAAGCTATTGGGTAGTCTGGTATATTACCTTGCTCATTTTAAACTTTCCCCCAAAAGTCTGTATCAGTCAGGATAAACTGGATTATAGGGTAGTAACAAATAGTCCCCAAATGTACTGACATGACATGTTCTGACACCGGATGTTTATGCCATCTGTGTTTACTTCTCACTTTGGTGGGGTCTACTGTGGGCCTATGCCAATTACCAGGGCAACCATGATCCACTCAGGAATTCAGGGCTCCAGGTGACTCTCCCCTCATGACTCTAATCTCTCAAGACAAGGTTGAAGAGGCAACATGGATATTTCATGTTAGCATGGCCCACATTTGGGCTCCAAAGAGAAATTGCATAAGCCATAACACTGCAACCAAAACCAGACACATATCCCGCTAACTGGCAAGGAAGTGCCATCCTCTGTGGACCCACAAAGAGGAGGAAGACCAGATGTTGGTGAGCTGTGATAACGTCCACTTCCAAAGACTTCACAAGGACTTGGTCAGCTTAAAATTTACAAGTTCACCACCCCCCCAACACACTATCCTGTAAAGCGCACTATGAACCACAGCTTGCACCTGAGGGGAATCAGATTAGAATGGGAAGCTCACGGCTGTTACCAAGGACCAACCTAGAGGATTGAACCAGGACGGGCATCCTCAGCATACCCTGGAGCAGAAACCCCTGCAGAGAAGTGCATTGCCCTCCGCTTCTCACCACCAGCCTACCTACGGAGGTGCGATTTGTTTACATAAGTGTTCTAAACCAGTTGGCTAAAAAATAAATAAATAGCAATTTAGGCAAATAGTCATTCCAGAACATTCTGCCTTAGAGTTTGATGACTCAGAAAGGAAAAAAAAAATAAAGTTCAAAAGTTTTCAGCCTTCTTTCAAACTTCAATAACTAATTTTATTTTAATATCATATCCCTTTTGATTATTTTTTGTTTGCTTTTTGGTGGTGCTGGGGATTGAACCCAAGGCTTTGTGCATGAGAGGCAAGCACTCTACTGATTGAGATATATACCCAGTTCCCAACTGCCTTTTGATTATTGATAAAACAACATCTCCAAGAAATAATCATTGAATTCTTAAAATATACTAACATCAATGTTATGGTTTAGATGTCAATGTTATGGTTTAGATGTGGTGTCCTCCAAAAGCTCACAAGAGACAAGGCAAGAAGGTTTGAAGGAGAAATGACTGGGCTATAGCCTTAGCCTAATCAGTAAATTAATCCCTGATGGGTTTAATTGAAGTGGTAGGGTGTGGCTGGAGGAGGTGGGAATTGGGGCATGGCTTGGGTATGTATTTATACCTGGGAGTGGAGCCTCTCTGCTTTTTTTTTTTTTTTTAAGAGAGAGAATTTTTTAATTTTTTTTTTATTTTTAGTTTTCGGTGGACACAACATCTTTATTTTATTTTTATGTGGTGCTGAGGATCGAACCCAGCGCCACACGCATGCCAGGCGAGCGCACTACCACTTGAGCCACATCCGCAACCCCTCTCTCTGCTTCTTGATCACCGTGACGTGAGCTGCTTCTCTCTGGCACCCTCTCCTGCAGTGATGGTCAGCCTCACCTCCAGCCCCAAGGAATGGAGCCAGCCTTCTATGGACTAAAACCTCTGAAACCGTGAACCCTCAAATAAACTCTTCTTCCTCTATAGTTGTCCTGGTCAGATCCTTTAGTCAAAGAAGCAAAAAAAAAAAAAAAAACTTGTTAAAGCAGTCAAGAAATGGAGATCAAGTATTTTTTAGATAACTATGATCTCCTGAGTTTCCCACCATCTGTTCTTTACAAATGATAACCCATTTTATCCTCTTTGCAACCCTTCCAAGTTGTTAGTATCACTTCCGCTCTGCAACCAAATAAACTGAGACTCAGAGTTAAGTAACTTGTCCAGGGGTCGGGACCAGGCGTAATGGGAAGTGGGCATCTGAATTCACATCCATCTAGTGGATAATAAGGAATCCCACATACCACTCCAAATCAATTAGAACTTAGAAGTTATTGACTTACAGTAATTTCAGACTTTGTATTACTTGAAAAGTGTAATCAAGAGCTCATTCATTTATTGGAATAACTGCAGTTCTATTTGAATACGTTGAAATTTGGGGGGAAAAAGGCTAATTATCTCTTTTAAAGTGTCCTATTCATCATGACACATTGATCTTTCCCACCACGTCCACATCCTTCTCTCTCTCTAATAACTCATTGAACAGACTGCAGTCCTAGGGCATGGGCCAGACATGCACCCTGTCCCACAGTTAAATAAGGTGCTGCTCATTGAGAATTTAGCCAAGTGCCCATGAGAGTCGGTATGTAAAGATCAGCAATTAGGTTGTTTGGTAAAGTTGTAGAATATCGGGTTCTTAGCTCACATAATGAGTAAACACCCCCCACACACACACCAAAAAAAAAAAGAAAGAAACTGTGAGTACTACAGTTAAAAAATGCAAATGTCATAAATGTAATAGAAGGTGAGACGAAGATGGAGATTATTATCTCTGTGTGTCTGAAAGGGTTAATCTTTAGCTTCCAAGGAGCATGCATGGGGCTTACCAGGATCAATTCCATGTCCAATTGTAGAAGAACAAAATCAGAAGCACGTTGAGAAACACCCTGAAATTTTGGAAATGCACTGTCAAAATTACAACTAAGAGAAAAATGGAGGCTTTATATTTTTATGGCGGTTTTTAGGAACAAACCCCTCTCTTATACCAGATAAACCTAACTCCGAGACTTTCTAATATCTGACTTCATATACATTGTCAGGAGCCCTTTACACAGTATTCAGATAACACCCACGTGTATTTCTTTTACACAATGGAACTATTTGGTGCATTGTATACCCAGCACTTAAAGCTGAGCCTGGCACACAACAGCCCTCAGGAGGTATTTGCTGAATGAAGAAATGACAAGATCCATATAGGATATTATATGTGGAAAAGAGAAGAAAAACCTTTCAAAATGCAAAGCTGAATTCTTCTCCTTGGTGATTCATTTTATGCATCAACTTGACTGGGCTATGGAAGGTCAAGCTGATACGTGTCTATGGATGGTATTTTGGGAAGATATTGGCATCTGAATCAATAAATTGAAAAAAGCAGATGGCCCGTCTCACTGTGGGCCCCACTCAATCAGTTAAAGAGAATCAAAAGGTAGAACAGGGGGGACTGCTCCTGCCAGACTGCTTGAGATGGGACACTGTCCTTTTCTGGCCTTCAGACCTGGACTGAACTCTGCCTCTTTGGGGGTCTCTAGCCCTTCAGCTTTTGAACAGAAGCTCCCACCATCAGCTATCCTGAATCTCCAGCTTGCAAACTGTAGACCTGGGGCTTTTCTGTCTCTATACTCACACAAGCCAATTCCTAACACTGTCCTGTGGATTCTTTTTCACTGCAGAGCCTGGACTAACACGTACCTTGATGAGCCTGGTTTCTGAGGTTAGCCAACGAGGTACTTCAAACTACCTGTCCAGTGGAAAATCACGAAAATCCCAAGTGAAAAAGAAAAAAATGTTCAAGTATCTTTTGAAATGCATCATCAAGAAAGCTGGTGTAAATGTAAGGGATGTGCCAAGGTAAACACACACACACACACACACACACACGCACACGCACACGCACGCACACGCACACAAGACGAAAGCAGGATCCGGACACTGACTGACTGTGAGGCCTTCCGCTCTCCGTGGGCCCTGACCTCTGCTGGCTGGGGTTCTGGGGAGCAGGAAGGAGACACAGCTAAGGGTCTGCTCAGGGTGGCCTGCTCTTCTTACCACTTTTACCCTGTAAGGCTGGCCTCCAATTCCTACTATAGTTTCACCAACATCTAAAACTGGTACCCTGAAGGGCCACAGCTCAGGAGCAGGGCACTGCTCTGTCCTGTGGAGGGAAGAGCCTGACATAGGAGGAGAAAAGATGGAGGGGGGCGCTGGGGCAGGCCTGCTCTCTTTCCTCTGGGAATGAAGCTTTTTTTTTTTTTTTTTTTGCAGATGGTTGGTGCACTGCACCTGCACATGCCCTCATAGAAGGTTCTTCCCAACTTAGTCCTTGAGTTCAAGGGTACAAAGCACAGGGTGCCTTCCTTGCAAGGCAACAGCTGGGTTTTCTTTACTAAGATGTTTTCCTTTTTCACCTGATCCTGAACACAGGGAAAACCATCACGTGCTCGGGGTTCTCTCCACAGAAGTCGGCTGCCTGGATTTCAGTGGAAACGACATGTTTCCTGTAGAAGCCACTGAAGTGACAGCGTGTGATCATCAGGACGTCACCCACTCCTCTGCCAGCATATCCAAGGTGTGTTTGAAAAGTCAGATGCAACTTTGGCAAACAATTCTATCACGTATCAAAGAACTGACACCTCTTCAAAATGCGATTTATTCCGTCGGCACGTCCCAGGCACAAGGGGTGCCGTGAAGGTATCTATAACCTTCAGGTAAATTTTCTTCCTAGGCGTGACCTACACACGAAAACATTCATGAGCATTCAGTTTTCACTCCATCACCACTACCTGGATCAAGAAACAAGATATTATTAAAATTCGTGGCTGTCTCGGTTGGTCTCCGACACCTTTAAAGAGCAATTTTTCTGTCATTTTCCCAGCTTGTGTATGTCACCACTGGAAGAATTATTCTATTAACAACTGTTCCCTCGCCCTTAAGCAGAAATCCGTTATATACCATCAAATTCTCCTAAAACCCTGGGAGGGCGTATTATTGCCTAATTTTCAAGTTTGGGAAACTGAGTTCCAGATATGCACACTTTGCCGGTAGGTGTAGGGCCGAGGTTTAAACCCCAGGATGGACTCCAGAGCTCGCCCACTAGGCCACGACACCACAGGGCTCTCCAAGAAAGACCTGCCCTGCACATTAGTCTGTAAGACATCACTGACTTGAACAGTTGTGCCCCACAGGCTGCGTGTTGGAAATTCACACAGTGCAATAGTAATGAGAAGCGGCACCTTCAGGAGGGGCTCCGTCCCCGGGAATGGGATTGGTCACCTTGCATGAGGGCTGCAGGAAGCCTAACAGAACAGGAAGCTCACCCTCAGCTCACAGCTCTCGGCGAAGCTTCCCTTCACAGTGTCTCTTCCCACCTCTTCCCATCCCTGCATGGACAGTGGGCACGGAAAGGCCAAAGAGCCAGAGTGTGAGCTGCCGCCCAGGAGCACAGTTCCATGTGCAATTTGCAGCCCGGGAAAATGCCCGGAATGCTCATGCCGCCGAGATGGAGGCTCACAGGAAAAGAGACAGCATGATCCTTTCCTTGTGCACAGTGACGCCCTCGCTTCGATCCTTGCCATCCAACTCAACCGTGAAGTCAAAGAAGGTTTCTTGGGCTGTGTTATACACGTGTATGAGTCCAAAGTGACGAAGGTTCCAATCCCATCCACTGACAAAAGTCAATTTGACATCAACACTAAGCTTCCACTTTTCAAATAACAATGGTAACATTTAATTAGAACTTAACCTGGCTGCCTGCTTTCACTTAGCAATGGACTGTACACCAGTGTTCCCTGACTAAGGAAAGATTGACAGCCAGTATACATGCCGCCTTTTAAAAAGAGCTGCACACTGGTGGTGTCTAATTATGCATAACATGCTGCCACTAATTATTACTGTTTCCAGTGGCTTGGAGGGTCAGCAGGTCTGTAGTCTCCCATATTGTGATCAGGAGTTAGGTTAAATCTTGGTCAAAGCATCGCAAATGCTTTGTAATGATTACCACTACACACCAGGCCTACAAATGACTAATGTAGCTAAAAAGATAACAGAAGAAAGCATCTAGTCTCTACTAGCATACAGTAAGTACTTTTTTAAATGGTAGCTATGAGCCTACTAATTATTATACTTTTTTTTATTTGGAGAGGGGTACCAGGGATTGAACTCAGGGGTACTCAACCACTGAGCCACATCCCCAGCCCAATTTTTGTATTTTAATAGAGATAGGGTCTCTTGGGCTGGGGATGTGGCTCAAACAGTAGCGCGCTCGCCTGGCATGCGTGCGGCCCGGGTTCAATCCTCAGCACCACATACAAAAGATGTTGTGTCTGCCGAAAACTAAATAATAAATATTTAAAAATTCTCTAAAAAAAAAATAGAGATAGGGTCTCACTAAGTTGCTTAGTGCCTCGCCATTGCTGAGGCTGGCTTTGAACTTGTGATCCTCCTGTCTCAGCCTCCCGAGCTGCTGGGATCACAGGCACGTGCCACCGCGCCCGGCCAATATTATCCCTTTTGATTTGATCATTACTACAGTTCTGGGCTGCCAGTGATCAGGGAATTCCTCCTTTCCTCGGAGACGCCACCATCTGGAGTATCCATCCATCCTTCATTCATCTGTGCCACAGACCTTCACAGAGTCCTAGTTGGCACCAGGCACGATCTCTAGATAACAATCCCCAGAAAGTCCCCCTCTTGGAGATTCCCAGTGCACATACTGAGGCTCTGAGAAGGTCTGCAGGGAATAGATTGGTAATAGAGACAGAAGACAGATGGTAGGTAGACAGACAGCAGAGATTGATGACAGATGCTACATAGATTTGAAACAGAGATGATCCACAGATACAGAGCAATACATGATGATAGAAATAGGTGACCGATGACAGGTAGGTAGCTAGAAAATTGACTGATTTTCCATATTTTCCTTCCTGGTAGAACCTTTTATTTTCATGGAAACTTAGTCCCATCCCAAGACAATCATGTCCTAAAGAACACACTTTGGGAACAGTGCGGGACCACATCTGATACCCTGAGGATGCTCCTGACTGACTCCCTCCCAACCAAACTCGAGCCAAGTCCCCTATCATGATTGTCCTCCGAGTTGGTCTGTAAAGACCTGAACAAAACTCTAACATTATTGTTTTGTTTGGGGGTTTTGTTTGTTTGGTTTTGGTACCAGGGATTGAACACAGGGGCCCTAACCACTCAACCACATCCCCAGCCCTTCTTTTTTCTTTTTTTTTTTTTTAATCTTTTATTTTGAAACAAGGTCTCACTAACTTGCTGAGGTTGGATTTGAATTTCCAATCCTCCTGCCTCAGCCTCCCAAGCCCTGGGATGACAGGCGTGCACCATCACACCCAGCAAAACTCTGACATCATTCCTTCCTTCCTTCCTTCTTTCCTTCCTTCCTTCCTTCCTTCCTTCCTTCCTTTTTTAATTAGAGCTTATGATTGGACATAGTTGGGTTCATCAGGACAAACTCACGCATGCATAGAAATCTGTTTCGGTTCACCATCCTCCTGGTCCCTGTGGGAGGTAGGAGCGTGACTTTTCAAAACCTGCGGGTCTCCCATGGATCGACCACCCATCCCACATTTCCCTGGCTCTCCTGGCACCCCAACCCCCTCCCTCCTCCTTCATGCTCCCTCTAAGGTGCCACCCTCCTCTGTACAGATCAGAGTTGAATTCTGTTCCCTGTTGCAACAGCACATCACCAATTAAAGCTGTCCTTACACTTCGGTGTGGAGCTTTGTCTTTGACTCCTCACCTCGTAAGTGTTCAGGGACACTTATGAACGTTGGTACATCAACCTTTTGGGTGGATGCCGCAGTGAGGTCCAGGGGAGATTTGAGACTTCACTGTCCCCATAAAGCTGGAAACAGGCAGCTTGTCCACAATAACAAGTCCCAGAACCAGCCTTGCAGTCACGCAGAAGTGACCCAAATCCCAGCTGGACGTTTTAAGGTCTTAGCACAACCTGTCTGATCTCCAAGGTTTGGGGGACACTTCTAGGGTAAAATGCAGGAAGACCCAGGTCCCCCCGGAGATATCTGGCAATGTTTTTCTCCCCATTTTCTCCCACCAGCCTTTCCCTCAATCAGGGGAAGGGGGCAGGGAGAAGAACTTCAGCCTGTGCAAGCCAGTGATTTTTTTTTTGCACACACACACACACACACACACACTTTCCCAAGAACAAGAAGCTACACAGCAAGTATGAGAACCACTCCAGGTGAAATGCCAAATGCCTGGCTCTGCACAGGCACCTCAGCCCCTCAGCAGAGCTGCTGTGGCCCTATGCTCACACCTCAGTGTGGACCGGTCAGCTCTTCCCAGCCCCAGCCCCAGCCCCCCAAGTGCAACTCCTACAGTTCTGCAGAGAGCTTTCTCATGGCACTGCCTGCCTCACTAAGGGGTAATTATGCTCCCAAACACCAAAGTTCTCCTCTGCCTGACCCCATAACTACCCAGATCCAAGGAAGCTGGCTTCCAGACCGGGAAAGGCCTTTAAGGAGGCAGCAGGGATGCAAGGCAGCGTTTCCCAGATAAGACCTTTCAGTCTGTCCCACAGTCATCCATCTCTACTGTCCCAGTAGAGGTTAGAAATAATGCCTCCTGGCCCAAAAGGATTGGGTCCCAGTCCCCAGAGCCCAGGAAACTGTGCCCTTGCAGAAAAAGGGCCTTTGTGATTATAAGTGAGGAGCTGGGACAGAGGGAGCATGCTATGTTACCCAGTTGGGCCACATGCACTTATAAGGCTCCTGTGAGACGGAGACAAAAGGGTCACAGTCAGAAAAGAGGAGGTGTGGTAACAAGGCCAAGGTGAAAGTGAGGTGAGTTACAGGGCCCCAAGCCAAACGAGGCAGGCTGAGGAGGCAAGGATTCAAATCCGCAAGGTCCTGCCACATCCCGAGCTCAGGATTTGACTGCAAGATAATAAATACATATTGTTCCAAGCCACTAACTTTGGTGTGATTTGTTACAGCAGCAATTGAAAACTAACACCCTTCCTGTAATGTATTCTCTTTTTTTAATATTTTTTCAGTTGTCAACGAACCTTTATTATTTCTATGTGGACTGAGAATCGAACCCAGCACCTCGCACATGCTATGTGAGCGCTCTACCACTGAGCCACAGCCTCAGCCCTGTACTGTGTTCTTTTCGTGATATTTAAGCCTGTCCACCTCTTGCTTACTGTCTGCTTAAACTCATGGCAACAATAATATCCACAGAATCATGGTCTTGAAGTGGTCGTTAAGTAAACACGATTATTAATTAAAAGCACTCACCTGTCATCTCCTGACCCCGTCCCTCCTGCACACTGTCCCAATGACACAGCCTGTGTCCTGCTTTGGAAAGCTCTGAGGCAGGGGGCAATGGACCTTTGCGATGGGAGACCAGAGCCCCACACAGGCTCTCTGCTCACTGGCCTTGGACTGGTCACTCTGACACTCTGGCTCCTTAGGCTTCTCCTCGGAACAGGAACTTAACAGAACAAGTATCTGCTGGGTCTCAGGCCTCCACTGGCCACCAGGACTTCCAAGGACAGTCAGTGCTATGCAGGGGGTCTCAGAACACTGGGTCCCTCATGGGTCTCCACTCCCTGGTCCCCTAAGTCTGCCGCTCCTTCTTAGCCCTCCAGCCTGTATGTAGATCAGAAAGCTGATGTGTGGGGAACACAGTCCCCGGATCCAGTCCTCGTCGTTCTCTCCGCATTGCACCCAGTTGACATCAATATACAGAGAGGGCCTTTAACACCGCCCTTCCCTTGGTGGGTCTCAGACCCACAGGGCATGGTGACAAATCAGCCAATCCAGCTGGACTCGAGGCAGGAACATTACAAGTCCAAATATCTCCTAACGGCTCCACGATGTGCCAATGGTGTGATCTTCAACTCTCTGAGACGTCATGGCTTTGTCTATTCATAGGGAAGAACCTACTAAACTCAAACTATGAAGGTGAAGGTTCAGTGAGACACACATGCTCCACCTCACAGCGCCCACCTGACGCACAGTAGGGCTGGCTGGGCCTAACGTGGGATCAGTACCATTCTCTACACTGCAGAGGTGACAGGATCTGCACTGTGACTCCTGAAAGGTAACCACAGGGACGGGACCGTTTCCTAGGCTGGCACCCACTCTGGGCACACCCTATGTGGGGTGCGAACCATTTGTGTGCTGCGTTTGAACATTGGACTGTTAAGACGTTGCAAGGTGATGATTTGGAAGCACCCACCTGGTGCTTGGGAACATCTGCTGTGTTCGTGACCCTGTTTCCACTCCAGGGAAGAAGGTGAAGAGGGGGGCGGGGAGGAAGGGGCGGGAAGGCACACAGGCAGCACTGCAGCTCCCGTGGGGTGACCTTCATCCTAGATCTGCCCTGAGGGCCGGGTGAGGTCCCCCTGGGAGAAGACTGAACCCGGTTTCCCACGCTGGTTTTCAGAAGCCCGAGTCCTCATCTGCTGCCAACGGCTGCCCCCTTGTGGAAATGCTGTCAGCTGCTTGTATAGGGACTGTGCTCTCAGAATTCCACGGTGCCCCATGGTGTGGAACATGCACATCTAGCTCTAGAGAGATGTCCTTCTAGACGCAGCCCCTGCCCACTAACCAGCGCCCTCTCCACAACTCCTCACAGAGAAACAAGCCTCAAGCCTCCGTGTGATCAGGTAGATAAGAAGCCCTCGTGGGAATCAGACCACTGGGAGTTCAAAATCCAGATCCACCTTTTTACCCCATCTCTACCCATCTGGTAAGTCACTGAGCCTCTCTCAGTTTGTTCCTCTTCTGTAAAAAGGGGCTAATAATAGCACCTACCTCCTGTGGAGGTTGTAGAGTAAATGAGATACAGTACATGATAAAGCACTCTGTGAAGGTCAGACACCCCCAGTGCCTGTGAGTGCAATCTGCAAACACATCGTATTCTTTCTACCTCCAAGCCATCTATTTAACAAGTATTTATTGTAAACTCCCTGAATAACTAATAAGGCACAGGCCCTGCTTTCAAGAGCTTGTAGTAAAGTGAAAGAGACAGAAATATAGACAAAGAATTATAACAGCCAAGTCTGTGCCTAGGTTAGTGTCCTCCCTGTGCCTCAATGTCGGGCAAAACCAGGGACAGAGACGAGGCGGTGGGACACCTGGGGAAGAGCGGTCAGCTGGC